CTCAACCCTAAACGTGCGTGAACCGTCACCTGGTGCGCAAGGTCTCGTGGGATTTGAGGTGTATACAAATTAACACACGTGGCAGGAGCACACCACGGAAGTTTGGGGGTCCCCGGAACCGGTGTTCCCAGGTCTCTGCACTGTGCCAGCTAACGGTAGATGCTGGTGACAGGCGCTGTGCTCTCTAGGGCAACTACCAAATACAAAGAAACGAGCATTTTCCAAAGTAAAACATGGGAAAAGGAATAATTCCCAAAAACCCAATAGAAAGAAAGAGATAGGAGGCCTCTGAGGCCGGCGACAGGGCTGGGTTCGCGGGTTGGTAGCACGATCTCGCAGAAGCAGGGACTCACCGGAAGAGAAGGGCACAGAAACACCAAGGCAGAGGGCCAGAGATGCGGAGGACACTGAGAAGCAGAGGTAGAGGGACACCAAAAAGGACAGAGAAACAAAAAGTCAGAGAAAGACAAAGAGAGAAACAAGGAAAGAGACACAAAGACTGAGAGACAGAGGACAGCGACAGACTGACACCTGCACGGAGACAGAGGGAGAGACAGAGAGACAGACGCAGATACGCAAAGACCCGTGAAGAGGCGGAGAAGCCCCCAGGGGCAAGAACCAGGCAGATGGCACTGCCCACCATGGGCCTGAGGACTGGCCGGCTGCCCCTCAGGGCAGGTGCTGCCCTGTCCTGGCCTCGGTCTCTTGTCTAGAGTGAGAGGAGAGGTCCCACGCTGCCATCTTGGCACGGCTGAAGCAGGTGTCACCCAATGGGCGAACTAAGACCGGCGAGGACCAGAGCCTCACTGAGGTCACACGGTGCTGTGAGGACCACCCCTGAGCTCTCGGCCAGGATGGGATGGAGGACAGGGGCAGTGCAGAATCACGCAGTCCGCGGATGGGTCTGTGCCCCGCCTGCCGCGCCATCTTCTTGAGCCTCAGTTTCCCTTTCTAAGAAATGGGTGTGATGGCAGCAGTGTGCGGAGCTGGCTTAGTCTCCGGAATTTCGGGACTGGTTGTTAAATAGCCGTTATTAAAAATTAAACCACACAAACACAATTAAATTAACTACTTAAAACAAAGACAATAAATACTCATCATACTCTTAAAAAAAAACAAAACACTAAATAAGATGCACTTAGAAGACGATTAACTCAAAACCCAATACAAATGTATTCGTATTAAACAAAACTAGACTAAATGCTCCATTTAAAAGACATTGATTATCGCTAGACTAAAATAAGAACAAAAACAACACCCAGCTAGGTGCCGCTCGCACAAACTCTGTCAAACGCTTAAGGTTGCACATGGGACGCAGTGGACGAAAGGGCAGACCGAGCAGACTCTAAGCAGAGCAGAGCCGGTGTGGCCGCCCCGGGCCGGTGGGAGCCAAGACGAAGCATGGCTGCGGTGAAGCCAAACACACCGCGATGGAGGGGAAACCCTCGGCAAACAGTTCTGACCACGTCTGTGCGGCCGCGGGACACACACGAGACCTGCCAGGGCCTCGCAGGGCCAACCCCACCCGTGACACTCTCGGCACCAACGAGCGCAGCAGACGCAGGACGCCGCATGCCGAGCCCCGCACAGCTCCCGTCCTGTTCACGCCTGCACGAACATCTACAACGACCGCGCTGGGCCACCGGGTGAGTCTGAACACCAGCCACAGAAATGCAACCACACGTTCTCTGGCCGGTGGAAGTCAGCCAAAAATCAACGACAAAACGCTAAATGGAAAACCCCCCCATCTGGAAACGAAGGTGCGCCCTTCTACGGGAGGCAGGCAGCCCAGCTCGCCAAGGCCTGTCACCCGCCAGCTGAGCACCCCGCAGCGGCCCCACCTGGCACCAGACCGGAACTCCTTCATGATGGACTCCCGCTCCTTCTGTGGCATGTCCCCATGCATCGACGACACGGTGAAGTTGGCTTCTCTCATCTTCTCTGTCAGCCAGTCAACCTACGGATCGAATTGGCACACGACTGTCAGCCCAGACACCAGGCCGGGGGCCGCGGCGCTTGGTGAGCCCGTGCCCTAAACGCAGCCCCACGGTCACTGGGCGCGTAGAACAGTCAGCAGTGCCCGGCGGGGCCAAAGTCCATGAATTTACTCCCTGTAAATGAATGAATCTGTTCCCTGTACATTTCTTTAGGAAAAAAAAACATATCTCACTATTCTCATTTGAAATTAAAAACTGAATCTTGTTCGGAACAGAGCCTAACTTCTCTTTGTTCAAGGGGAAGCCCTCAGCTCTGCTTGCACATCGGTGTCACCTGGGAGCGAGCAACACCTGGCCACCTACGACCGATGCCACCTGGGGCTTTGGCTGTGGGACCAGCATCAGCCCTCTCATACGGTTTCACTGGACACGTCCGTGTTCACGTATCGTCCACGGAGGATTTTGAGCCGAAGGGCAGGGGCGAGTGGCTGCCAGAGACCGTGTGCCCACAAAGCCTGAAGGACGGGCCTCGGGCCCTTCACAGGAAGTCTGACCCAAGTTCTTAGGGACCTGTCCTCAGGCCTCACCACCACGAGGACAGGAAAGCCGGTGGCCACGCACCTTCCTTTTGGTGTTGCAGAAGATGACAGCCTGTGTGATGGTCAGCGTGTCGTAGAGGTCGCACAAAGTGTCAAATTTCCACTCTTCTCTCTCCACCGCCACAAAAAACTGCTTGATGCCTTCTAGAGTCAGCTCGTCACTGGAGGACAAAGACAGGCCCGGTCACTCATCCTTCTAACCGAGACTGGCGGGCAGACGTGGGCCAGGCAGCCCCGAGGCAGGTCGGCTGGCCGAGAACCGCCGGCACCGCCCACCCAGCCACAGCCTCCTAGAAGTCCCCACTCCCACCGCACGGCCCACGCCCTGGTTCAGTCCGCACTTTGACAGTGGCGACCAGCACGTGTGCTTCTGAACAAAGCACTCCGCTGGTCCACAGCTCTGTTTTACTCCGCAAACTCCGACACACGAACACTGGCCGCAAAGTTTTAAATTTGGAATGACTGAGTCAGAGGCCGGCTTTCCAAAAAAAGACACTTAGGAGTTTTGCGTTTTAACACCCAAACGCAGCCTATGTCGCACGTTCCGGCAGCGCTGGAGGAGGGGGCGCTCTCACCGTTTCACCAGGATGCGGATGGGGTCGGTCATGAACTTGTTGGTCATCTCCAGGATCTCGTGGGGCAGCGTGGCGCTGATGAGCACCACCTGCGTGGCCGGGGGCAGGTACCTGTACACGTCGTAGATCTGCTCTTTGAAACCTGGGCGCGGAAGAAGACACACGGGGCCTGAGGTGCCACCCAACACGGACATTCGACGAGACGCGGAGTCATGACCGCACGGCAAACTTCACAGGGACTCGTCTTCCCACGGCGCCTAAGCCACACGCTGCCTCGCCTCTCCCCACCCCACGCACGAAGCGGGTCACAGCCCCACCCAAGAGTCCTGGACGCCAGCAGTCACAAGCGAGGCACCTAGCCCTGAGTCGCCCCCCACCTCGGATGACTGCGCATGGTCTCAACTCGGTTCCAGCTGCTGCTGCCCTGTGCGGACAGACGTCCACTGTGACCAGATGTGCCATGCTTTGGGAGAATCCAGAGATCTAGATTTTTACCAAAAAACTCCCAACTAAAAAAATCTCTCACCAATATCAAATCGTCATGTTGTACACCTAATACCAATATGTCATACGTCGATTATACCTCAGTAAAAAATCTCCCGATTAAAGAGGCAATTTGTTCACATTATATAACGTGGTACAGGCTGAATAAAACAGCCTCAGCAACCAATAAAACGACGAGTTAAGTAAATTACGGCCCGCTGGTACCGAAGAAGGCCCTAGTGACTCGCCGACATACCATTTATACTCCCCCCGACCAGCCCAGGCATTGCCATGCGCCTCCTCTCGCTCCACACGTCTGTCACCTGTGCCTCCAGCACACACAGCAACGCCGCATCTGTCTGGGTTGAAATGCTGCCATGCGGGTTGTGATCGGCCTTACAAAGACCAAAGTACGTTTTAAGTCCCCACTGCCCCCGAGGCTCAGCTACTTCCCACAAAGAACACACTGACTCACACTCAGAACTTCCATCAGCTCCGTGTTTCAACTCACACTGTGAAAACTTCAGACTCTACGTTAGTAGAAAATTCTTGTTACTCGTACCTTTATTCAGCATTTCATCGGCCTCATCCAAAACCAGCATCTTGATAGCACGTGTCCTTAAACTTCTGCGACGAATCATATCTATAAAATTCGTTTAGAATAATCAGACCTCAGGCTACAAGAGCACCAGCCATTTCAACTGGTTTTCACGACACATCAGAGACCCCTCCCCCCCACTTCCTACAAGTGGGGTGTCCGACAGCGGCCCCTCCGGACCGAGCGGTCCTCAGACGCCACCTGCGGCACCACGTTTACACACAGCGCTTACCAAAGACACGGCCCGGCGTGCCGGCGACCACGTGCTGTCCATAGTCCAGCTTCCTGATGTCCTCCCCCACGTTGGTGCCCCCGATGCAGGCGTGACACTGGACGTTCATGTAGTCACCCAGAGCGAGCAGGCCCTGGATTGAAAACCAGCGTCACGTCCAGAGCCCCGCTCGAGACCACGACAAAGTCAGACACATCTGCGTTTCCTGGAAAGGGAGCTCATTCCTGTCCCCACTAGGATTCCGGCAAGTGTCGTGTAT